TAATTCAGGCCAAGACAGTCAGGTTACATACAGACAACATCATCTGCATGTTCTGCATTCACTGATAGGGTGGGGCCAGATCACGTCACCTGGGCAACAAAGCGGTTGCCCTGTGGACATGGTGCAAACTCCATCAAATAAACACATCCGTGGTATATCTCCCAGGCGAACAAAATGCCATGGCGGACCAGCGGAGTCATTGTTTTCACCAGAAGCATGAATGGGAGATACACCCTCAAGCCCTGAATTCTGTCTTCCGCAGGTGGGGCTTTGAGGAAATAGACTTATTTGCAGCAATCACTCAACTCCAAATGCCCCAAATACTATTCCAGGGTAGGCCTGGGGCAGGAACTCCATGGGTAATGCCATGATCAGCAGCTGGCCTCAGAGCTTATTGTACACCTTTCCACTCCCTCCCCTCATAGGGAAGGTCATTCACTAGATAAAGCATGACCAGGCAAAGTTGATCATGATAGCACCTGCATGGCCCAGACAGACATGGTTCCCTTACCTGTTGCAGAGGTCAGTTGCTCCTCCGATTCCTCTTCCTCCATGGCTGAACATAATATACCAGGGCCAGGTTCTTCATCCTGAGGCTCACAAGTTTCTTCTAACTGCATGGGTCCTTCACGGTTTACAGTGCAACCCTTCATCTGAATGGAAGAAGTACAAAACATAATCCTTAATTGCCACAAACAGAGCACAAGGAAAACCTATTGGTACAAATGGTGGCTTTTTTCCCCAGTGGGCTACCTATAGAGCACTTCAGCCACAGCCAACTCTGCTTACAAATGGTCTTAGAGTATCTCCTCACACTTAAAACACACAACTTGTCTAACACATCTATTGAGGTACATTTGCAGCCATATCTAGTGAGAATGACATGGTGGATGGACAAAGTCTTTTCTCTCACCTGACTACCAAAAAATTCATGAAAGGACTTATCCCCTTTTTTGGTTTTACTGGAGGAAAGGTGTTATTGGTTACAGACTAGAGATGTAAGCAACTAGTCGAGTCACTACCCAAATAGTCACTTCTACTCCCACCATGCTGCTTCTAACAGGCAGTAAGGAAGGGAGCAGGACCCAGTGCTGGGCGGGGAACCAGCTTAAAAAGCTGGTTTCCCCCCCCAGCATCATCTCAGTGGAGGAGGCAGGGGTATGCAGAGGTGGGCGGGGGACCGGTTGTGAGCTGGGACAACTGAGTTCCAGCTCGTGCCCAGTCCCCTGTGGCAGCTCTGCCTTTTAAATATAGTAAGAGCCATGCGGCTCTTATTATATTTAAAAGGCAGAGCTTCAGGGGGTTAGCTCCCGGCCCCGGGAAGCTAACCTCGCTGTGGCTCTGCAGTTTCCCCCCTTATCGACTAATCAAGTAGTCAGTGTAAATTCCATCGACTTCTTGAATAGCTGATTAAACGCAATTTAACATCCTTATTACAGACTGAATATTACAGTTATTTAACTGAATATCTTGTTCCTTTTTGGGTAACTTGTAGAGTTAGACCTGACTTTTAATCCAGATCCAACATGATCCACACCCAAGATGGTTGAGTCATTTTCTGGTTATAGATGTCAGGTTGAAGATCAACTGATCCTCTTTGGCTCTGGTCTGCTCTTCACCTTCCTTGTGTTAGTACAATAGCAGTTGTGCACGCAGTCTGGGTATGCACATGCACACCCCACGGAATGAGACTCTGTGATTCCTGGTTGTACAGCAGACTTCCAATAATCCAGCACCTTTGGGACCTAGGGGGTGCCGGATTATTGGATATGCCGGAGTATCAGGAGGTACTCCAGCAGGGGGGCTGTGACGGGTCTGGGGGCGGGGGTCGGTGGGGAATGGCGCGGCATGGGGAGAAGGCTTGAAAGAAGGGGTGGGGATGGAGAAAGTCATTAATGATGGCACAGAGGAGCATGAGGGGAACGGGGGCAGAGTGGTGAGGGGGTGGGCATCAGGGAAAAAGAGGGCAAAGGGGGCAGGAGCAGTGAGGGAAGGGGGAGGCACCACAGGAGGGTGCAGGTGCCAGGGAATTCTGGGGGTGAAGCAGAAGGGCAGACACCTGCAGGGGAGGGACCAGCACCAGAAGAGAGAGGCAGGGCTGGTGTGTAGAGGGAGGTGTTAGGAGAGGGGATGAAGAGGGGTAGCTCACATGATCAGAGTGGGACTACTGGAGTGGGCACGGGGGAGAGAAGGGCTGGTGGAGGGGGGCAGGTCTCAGGAGGGCTGAAGGCAGTGAGAAGAGCGGGAGTCAATGACAGCAGAGGAGGGTGAAGGGTTGGGGGCAGCAGGCTCCGGGGGAGCTGATGGAGCAAGGGGAGGAGACATGGCAGCGAAGGGAAAAGGTAGAGGTTTATAAGATATTTATTAATAACTTGGGTGCCACAGTGGCACATCCAAAAAAGTCACATGAACTCAGTACTGGTGCACAACGCAAAATTCATTCTGCTCATGGGAGGAAACTGAGGGAACACTTTCCCCAACCTCTCTGCCCCTGAGTTAATGTCAAACACGTTGGGTTAATGCAATTGTAGGATAGTTGCATGAGGGGGGTTTGATGGGGGCCAATCTAATCCCTATTGGTAGGAGGATGGTGGGAAAAGTCCCTCGAGAGGGGTGACATGACACCTTTTACTTCTGGTCATGTGTCCATCTTGCCCTGAGCGTGAAGGCGTGGGGGGGGGGGGTCACATGACACCTTTTACTTTTGGTCATGTGTCCATCTTTGGGTGCACACCCTAATGAAATGTGCTGTGCATGCCTATGAGAGGAAGCAGTGGAGCATGTAACGGCAGGGCTGGGTCCTAGAGAGAGCCGAATGCACTGCCTGCAGCACAGTCTGAGGGAGGGGATTGTCTGCTGTGGTCTCTGGGAAGGAAAGGTAGTAGGGGGCGGAAGAGCAAGTCAGGCATAGGGGCACCAGTTTAATAATTTCGCGTAGGGCACCATATATCCTAAGGACGGCCCTGCCGGCTGACCGGAGCACTTCCGGGTTCCAGTTGGTGCCGGACTATCGGGAGTGCCGGACCACTCGATGTCATGCTGGACAGTTAGAGTTTTCTGTACATGCTTCCCAGCAAACACAGCACAGTGTGGTGGCTGTCCCCTGCAGGAACAGGGCAAGCAGCACTATCACCACAGGCCCTAGGAGGAGAGCTGATGAGTGCCTGAGGGATTAATTGTTTTCCAAACCAAGGTGAACTTGACACTTGTTAAGCTCAGGATCAGGTTGCTGGGTTCTGGTAACTTGAATCTGAGTTTCTTAAGCATTATTAAATGGAAAGAATTGAGTGAGTGAAACAGTAAATAGCTTAATAGCCTAATCTTTTCCTGCTAAGCTTCCAGGAAGAATCTAATTCCAGCTCAACAAAAAATGTGAAAACCTTTTCACACCAAAGACACTGATGTACATATAACAGTGGTTCTTAAGAGTCTCTCAGGAATTGTCAATAAATATTAGAGAACACTGTTTCCTTTGTTCCAGTGTCTAGCCAAACACTTTGGAAATTATTTAGGGTCACATAAGTCAAAACTTTCGCACTTTGAAAGTGAAAGATGCAGCCCTTTCAGAGCTGGCAGCGGGGAGCATAGCCCCAGCTGGGGTTTGAGGCAGCATGGTCTGCAATTTGAAGTGCAGTCCTGGCTGATGCTGGCAGCGGAGAGCACAGCCCCGGCCAGGGCTGGAGTCAGCGTGGCTAGTAGCTGGGTGCACAACCCAGACTGCCGCCAAGGGGAGTGCAGCCCCAGCTGGGATTAGAGGCAGGGGGCCCAGCTTCTGTGTGGGGTTGGCGCTGTGGGGGATGTAGTCCCAGTCAAAGCAGACATGTTGGGGAGTTGGAGGCAGCAGCAGGCGGAAGGGAGCGCATCCCCAGCCTGGAGCAGAGCCTACAACTAGATAAGGAGCCTTAACCTCCTCTTGTCCAGCAAACTCTGGCTTGGGACCTCTCAGGTTCAATTTGTACTACTTGCAGGGGTTGAGTGGGAAGGTTTGGCTCATTGTTCCTTCCTCTTATTCCCCCTGTAGAGCTCTTGAGCTTCACAGGAAAGAAGTCTCTCTCAGCTGCATCTCCCTATGAGCACTGTTCTTTGTGTGCCCTTTTGGGTAACATCATTCCATAGCACTTACCATCTGTAAATTTAACTCATAATCTAGTCACTTGTGTGAATTTTTATTAAGGTACCACACCTTCTTCCTTGCATTTCAGACATCATTATTTTGCTGAAGCCCATATGATGAAGCAAAGTGGAGTTTTTTTTGTGCGCAGACTTTGCCATGTTGTTGACTATTTTTCAACTGTAACCTAGAGAGAAAATTCTCAGGTTTGAGATGCCACATTTTCATTAAACGTAATTATGGTACAAAAGATCACTAGAAATTAAAGTTGCAGATAATGTTGTATTTTACAGAGGCAGATGATGATTTTGTGGGGCCCAGGGCAGCAGAATTTCGTGGGGCTCCCCCTTTGACATGGCGTATGCGCGGGGGCGCCACAGTTCATGTCCGGGGCTTCTTGAAGCGCGGGGCCCGGGGCGGCCGCCCTGCTCGCCCTGCCCTATATCCACCCCTGTATGTTTATATTTCTACCGTGCAAATGGAACACCTACAAGAAAACAAGGGACATCATCTTATTTCCTTGATAATTGATAGGGAGTATAATGTGTCCTATCAAAACAGGCTAAAACGTAGGTGAGTTTATCAAGGTTTTAGTGAAGTTCAGAAATGTATGATTAGAATAACAAAACATTCAGGTTTTTTGCTTTATACTTGAGTGACAAATCAGGGCAATGCATCAGAAATTAATATTTTTACTCTTTCACTGTGAGCATTAAGAAATCAAGGCTTGATGGTAACTATATAACAGGTTGACTATTAAGTAATCAGCGAGTTAGTACTAGTAGCTTGGAAACCCTGATTGTTTCTATGATAGAATTAACAAAGCAGTAATAAAATTGCTTATTTGCTTTGAGTTCTAATTATTGTGCCTTCTATCTTCTTTTTTTAGGAGTTTGGTTTAATGCAGTAGTGCTGTGGACTGATTGACAATATTAAACATGAGGGTAGCAGGTAAGAAAAACAGTCACAGATTTCAGGATCAAAATGCAACTTTTAAAATAATCCATGAACTGTATTAATGAGTAAACAATAATACTGATGTGTTTATTAATATCAAACTTTTGAAAGAAGCATTACTGCTTTAACTTAATGGAAACATTATTGCTTTGCTATTTCACTACATTTTAGCAGTCTAAAGCATGGCATTAAGCAATCATGAATGATGGGGAAAAATCATCTCAAAAGGGTAGCTGTGTTAGTTTGTAACTAAAAATACAACATTGAGGGCGGGGGGCTGGACTCGATGACCTCTCGAGGTCCCTTCCAGTCCTATTATTCTATGATTCCATGATTCTATGATCCTGTAGCATTAGAGACTACCCAAAGAATATATAGATAATATTATGAGCTTTTGTGGGCACAACCCACTTCTTCAGATGACCAGTATGGAGCAAGAGGCACAGAGGTTCAACTATAAACCAGAAAAAGAGGGGAGAGGCTAATAGAGTTGGTTGCAAGTGCCTCATACTTAGCTTTTGATATCATTTGGGTGTTGAATATAACTGCCCTTACAGTTCATGTATTTGTTCAAGCCATGAGAGATAGTGTCAAGTTTGCATATGAAGGCCAGTTCTGCAGACTATCTAGTTGATGCCTGAAATTACTTTGTAGAGAATAGTCTTGCAGGGGGGAGAGTCAGGTTTATTAGAAGAAAACATTTTGTCTAATAAAATAACCAAATGTTTATTTTCTGCTTTCAGCCAAAATAACCTTTCCTGCATTCCAGTCTTTGTTTATTAGTACCCTTGATATGAGACATCTCAAAAGAATGCAAAAAATACTCTCTAAATCACTACATTTAAAAAGTGTATAGAGCACCTTTCTCATCAGATGTCTTATGGCTCTTTTTTATATCTTTTTAAATCTTTTAAACAAAAATCAGTTGCTCTAATTTTAGTGCAAAGTAACACCAAATAAACACCAGTTATTGTAGTAAACAACACTCAAGGAGTGCTATACACTTGATATTTGTTAGATTTTCTGACTTTCTATACAGTGAAGTTTAGTATAATAGAATTGAAATTTGTCAGGACTTGAAGATGTATCTTTGATGGAAGTGTTATGAGTGTTCTTGCTATACTGCTGGGGAAGTCTTGGGCCACCACTCTTCCCTCCAATTCACTTCACACCAGTGCAGTCCTGGGCCACGTGCTGCTGCCTTGTGCCCCAGAGCACCAGTGAGTAGGCCCTGAGCTACCCTTTGCCTTGGAGCACCATCGTAGGTTTGCCAATTTTGGTTGGATGTATTCCTGGAGATTTAATCACATGATGTAAGATTAATCTTTAATTAAAGGTTTAAGTCCTGCAGGCTCCAGGCAAATCCTGGAGGGTAGGCACCTGTATACCAGTAGGAGTCCCTGGCCGCCCCCTGCCGTGGAATTCCCCCTCCAGACCATCAGTGCCTATAAAATTATTGTAGGTATATCAACATCCACTTACTCCCCTAAATACCCTGATTGTTCCCAACTCAGTTTAGGGTTACCATATTTCAGATTCCCAGACAGAGGATACTGCTGGGAGTACTGGGCAGGGAGGTGCTGGAGGTGTATTTGGGTGAGGTGCCAGAGGGATGTGTGTGTACTGGAAAGGAGCATTGGGGAGTGCTAGTGGGGATATTTGGACGTACCGGTAGGGGTACTTGCAGTCTCACTCTCAAAGTGGGGGGCAATTTTGTTCCTTATCACCATGGCAAATCAGCTGGCACAGGGCTGGGACACTGTGCCAGTCCATCAGTCATTACCTCTGATGCAGGCCTTTCCTCCTCAGGGCAGGGAGCCAAGGCCTGGTTGGCTGGGCTCTGAACCCTCAGGGCACAGAGCCAAGGCAAAAGGTACTTGGCAGCTGTGCTTTCTTATTGGGGAGGCAGCTCAGCCTGGAGTCCCCATCCATCTCTCCTGGAGAGGCTCCTGTTGCCTCAGTCACTGAGCCTGGATGCTAGCACTTGCTTATTAGCTCACATGGCTCACTCATCCCACCCCTGTGGTATTGCTGGCCAGCAGAGGACAGAGCACAAACAGCCATCCCGGGGACACTCTGCATATTGCAGCCCAGCTCAGCAGCCATTCCCTACTCGGGGGGAGGGGTCCTGTGCTGAGGAGTGGACACGGCTCCAGCGCCAGCTTGACTTCAGCCTTTTTGAACTTTGCAGTCCACTGAATAGTGTTTGGAGGCTCTGATTTGGCCTGCATACACCTATTAGATATCTCTTCTTTCTCACATTTATTCATCTGTTGAGTTGTTTCCCCATCCCCAGGTGTAAGACAGCAGTCAGATGTACAGCTGCGCCTCACAGTATCATTATCTATTGCAATGATTTAAGTTCTTACCTTGACAGTACAAAGCTTTACTTTTGATTTATTTGTCATGTATGTTCCTTTTGTTTACTTTATTCCAGAGTTTGATTGTAACACATTTCTGGGAGCATTGTTAGCTTTATAAAATCACTGAATTTCTCATGCAGTTTTTGTGTCTAGAACACACAAATTATAAAATATAAATAGATGTTGAAAATTGTATTTTCTGTGGTTTTCAATAGGTGCTGCAAAGTTTGTGGTAGCTGTGGCAATATTTCTATTGACATTTTATGTCATAACTCAAGTATTTGAAATAAAAATGGATGCCAGCTTAGGAAACCTGTTTGGTAAGTGATGGCTTTTAACTCTTCTCCCCACACAAATCATAATTGGCTTTGACTATAGCTTAACAAAGTAAGACATGCTCTTTCGGTTGTGAGCCTAACATAGTCATGCTCCAGAAGAATGCATGTTTTTAAGAATATACTTTTAGGTTCTGTATTAAAAGGTAAAATATTATTTTTACAAATGTGAATATTTTAGCTTAAAAGTTCACATTCAAAATATAACAAGATTTTATCCATGTATAGGTCATGTTTAATAATATTTGTAGTATTTGTCAAATGTTCTTGAAACCGTAAGTACCACAGGATTATGCAGTGTGGTTGTAGCTATGCTGGTTTCAGGATATTAGGGAGACACGGTTAATATCTTTTATTGGACCAACTTTTGTTAATGGGAGACACAAACTTTCATGTTACACAGAGTTCTTGTTCAGGCCTGGAAAAGATACTCAAAGTGTAATGGCTAAGTACAAAAATTAATAGATAGTTTGACCTTGAAGGGTCCCTAAGAATATGTGCAAAGTACTTATGCTAAACCAGGGATAGTCAGTTATTTTTGTCAAGTCCAAATTTCTTGGTCAAGGTATAGTCAAGGTCCATATTTAAAATATTTTAAAAGAAAATATTTAAAAAATCACAAACAATAATGATGATGATAATACAAATAAAAAATTCAGGATCTGCTCAAAAGCATCTGGTGGTCCAGATTTGGGCTGCTATCTACCTGTTGACTACCCCTGTGCTAAACTGTCTGTTATATGTTGTATTCAGCTGTGACACTCTCAGGGCTAGTTTTCACATATGGCACTACAGTGGCACAGCTTGACCGCTCAGTGCTGTATGTGAAAATGCTCCTACACCAGTGGAGGAACTTCTCTTGTCAGTGCAGTTAGTCTACCTCCCTAAAAGAAGCTCTCCCACTGATACAGAGCTGTCCACACAGGATCTTGGCTCAGTATAACTATCGCTCAGTGGTCTGGATTTGACATCTCTGAGTTGACATAGTTACTGTGATATAGGTATGTAGTATAGAGAAGGCCTCAGTACCTTGCACAGAGTTCTTCCTCAGGTCTAGGAATCTCTAAAGCTTATTTTTGTCACCAACAGAAGTTGATCCAGTAAAATATATTACCCCTGCTACCTCATCTTCCTTGTATAACAATTCAGTATCCAACATAAATTGGAGAGGTTCTGTATAGACATTTCAGAATTTATTTATTTGTATTCCTTGTCCTTTTTATTAACATAAAATGCACATACTTCGTGTAGTAATCTAACACACACAGTATTCAGTGTCAAGTGTGCATATTGTTTTTGTGGTCTCCATTTATATTCATAGAATTTAATGCTAGAAGGGACTTCCTTGATCATCTAGTTTCACCTGCACATTTCATACCACAGAACTCACCTACCCACAATTGCAGCATACCCAGCTGGATGAGTTATTGAACTCCTTAAATCATGATTTAAAGACTTCATGATACAGAGAATCTGCCAATTACTCTTGCTTAAACCTGCAAGTGACCCAGGCTGCAGAGGAAGGTGAAAAATCCCTGGTATCTCTGTCAGTCTGACCCAGGGGAACATTCCTTCAGGGCCTCAAATATGGTGCTCAGCTGGACCCTGAGCTTGTTGGGAAGATCTACAAGCTGAACATTATGTGAAGGAACATTGAATAAAACCTAACATTTGAAACCTGGGTCTAAACTACTATCGCCAGATACTCTGTCTCTAAAATTTGACAACCAGATCTCGAAACACAAAATGTTAAAGGCTGTAGTTCAAAATTTGTCCCCTTAATTTTTTGGTATGTCTGACTGTAAATGTTTGTGCTTATATTTGAATATGATGGTGGGAAGTATTAAATGGAGTTTTGTAAACTTTATTTTTATAGCTCTGCAAAAGACTAAATTAATAGGCTTATAAACTTATTACCTATGAAATTTCATTTTAATTAAAGCTTTTTGAAAACTTTTTTCTGTGTTTTAGCTAGATCAGCAATGGAGACAGCTGCACGCTGTAAGTATTTAATATGCCACAGTTAGTGCAAGTTGTATTTACCTTTTACTGTATATACAATATTGTTATGACTTTTAAATACTGACTCACTTTGATATAGAAATTGCCACCTACACATAAAAATCCACCGAGAATAGTTTCAGAAGTAGAAAATTGTTTCATGTCTAATCAAAGAATTGCATAATAGATCAGCACGTTAGAGTACACATTTTAATGGTTTGTGATATTTTGCCTAATTCATTTTACTTTTACATGTATAGCATTTAAGCTGCAGTTTCATGTGTATTTTGATCAGTATTATCTTTGAGCTCTTTTGCTCAACTACATTTGCTATCTTGTACTTATCTGGGAAATAAGTTTTTATTTTTATTCCAAGATAAAGACTGATTATGCTAATTAATATTATTGATTTATTAATGAAGTAAAAGGAAGTTTCTTATTAAGGTTGTATGATGTAGCTTTTGAGTTTTAATACATTTGAAGAGGGATTCCCTAAGTCCTTAAAAAGGTTTAAAAAAAATCCTGAAAATCCTGCATCCCAGCTTTTAAACACTTGAATCAAGATGTCTTTTTTACATTATTTAAGCAAGGGGAAAAGTTGGGTTTGTTCACATGTCATAGGACTGCAATATGGGAGATGTAAGTTCTATTTCTGTCTCTGCCAAAAAATTCTGATATGACTTCTAGCTAGGGGAATGACCCAAAATCCACACAGGGTAATGGAAAGATTCCAGTTGACATTAGTGGGTTTTGGATCACATGCATAATTTTTCTGTATCCGTTTCTCCATTTATAAAAAAAGGAGATATGTACATATCTCACAAGTGAGATTAAAATGAATGTTTATGAAGTACTTTTTTCCATAATTTAGAGTATAGACTAAGTTATGCATTGTTGTTGTCATCACCATATTGCCCTGAATATAAGGAAGATAAGGTTGGTGAGGTAATATCCTTTATTGGACCAATTTACACAGTGCTTGGACCTCAAGAAGAGTTCTGTGTAAGCTAAAAAGCTTGTCCCTCTCACCAACAGTGCTTCAATAAAGCATATAACCTTACCTACCTTATGTTTATATATAGCAGGGGTGGGAAATAATTTTAGCCCAGGGGCCACTTCAGACATTTTTGAAGTGACCCTGGGCCGCCCCGGAAGAGGCAAGGCCAGGTCACTTCCGTGCTTCCCTGCTCACAGACTCTGATTGAATTCTTTGTCTTCCCCCTCAAGAGAACAACCAACTATTCTGAACAGCTGGCAGTTCCTGCTAGCCATCCGTGCTCGCTCTGCCCCCCAAGTCAATCAGGACCTGGGGGTGGGGGAAGCATGGGAAGTCTTTTGCTCCCTGCCTTCGCCTTGCAAAGGGGGTGTTGCGCCCTGCAAAGGGGGTGAGCAGCAGCTGGCGGTTGACTGTAAGCACCGCGTGCCCCTTGCAGAGCAGGAGGAGACTTCATGCATTCCCCTCCACTCCCAGGTAAATCAGGGCCTGGGGGTGAGGGAGCATGCAAAGTCTCCTCTCGCCCTGCCCCTGACCTGCAAGGGGCATACTACCTTTACAGTCAACTGCCAACTCCTTAGCTGGCGGTTGGCTCTAAGTGCCTCATGCCCCCTTGCAGGGTTGGGGCAGGGCAGAAGGAGACTTCACACGCTTCCTCCTGCCCCCAGGCCCTGATTGGCCCAGGGTGGGGAGCAGGAGGGCGTCCGTGGGCCAGATAAACCTGTTTGGTGAGGCCCTTTTGCCCATCCCTGATGTATAGACTGAGATAATTTGTGACTTGCCTCTTCCTTTTCCATAAATGTGACTTATATTTGTTTATTTACTGTTGCTATATCTAAGTCCTATTTATTTCTTTTCTAAAGCTACAAAACCACCCAGATATAAATGTGGAATTTCAAAAGCTTGTCCTGAAAAGCACTTTGCCTTCAAAATGGCAAGTGGAGCAGCAAACGTAGTTGGGCCAAAAATTTGTGTAGAAGATAATGTGTAAGTATTTGCTTCTGTGGAGATTCTCTAAGTACCTTTTAAGACACTATTTTGGATAACTGCTCTGTCAAAATCTCCTGAATTCAGATGATAATATATTGATTGTTTTGCTGAAGTAAATATCTTGTGGTTTATACATAGTTTAATATGCAAACAAATATATTACTGGTACAACCACAATTTCAAGTACCTTTATATTGTGGATTGTTACGGTTTGCAAATTATTTTTGAAACTACATCAGACCAATGACAGATAAAATATATATTTAGCCTTTCTTCAAAAGAGCATTGCCAGGGTAAAAAAATCAGATATTTTAGTAATAAAATTACTTTTTGCCAATATCTTGGGTTACTAAGCCTAAATATTTTAAAAATCTGATTCACTTTTCATCATTTGCAGTAAATTCACTTAATTTGATTAATAATATTAGACTGTTTCAGTTTCTAGTTACTTTCACATTTTATGTCCAGTACTACCTTGCTGCAAAGATTGGATTGTATGAACTGCAGGGAATGTTTGAAAAATTTTATTCTTTCAGGTTATTAAATTGAATGAAAACATAATACAGGTTGGATCTTCTTCATTCGGAACCCATGGGACATGAATTGTTCCAAAAACAGGAAGTTTGCCGCACCAGGGGATTGGACCAGCCCCACTCCCAGGCTTCTTTCTAGGCTATAGGACTCTCTGGCCAGGGGCTCCTGTTGGCCCTACTGCCACTGACCTGGCTGGGACTCCTCTGGGCCAGAGCTCCCCATCCTGCTGCCAGCCTGGCTGCCGCTAGCCCCACTCCCACCCGCGGCTCCCCGGCTACCACCAGCTCAGCTGGGATTCCCCAGCCATTGTAGGACTCCCAGCTGGTTCCCATTCCCAGCCTCTGGAGTTCTTTGGTTCATCAGCATCCATGGTCCAGTTGTCAGACCAGAGAGTCCCAGATTTGAGAGGTTCAATCTGTAGTAGTTTTTAATACAGTCCTTTTAAAAATACAAAATTTGTTTTATGCTTAAGCTATTTGTATTCCTTAAATGTTAACCTAATTGGATTACTTCATCAGTGTGCTAATTTTGTTCCAGGCAGCCTTACTTCTTACATCATGATTACACTTGATTTCACCCCATGTACTCCTTAATGACTTTATAGGCTACTGCTTACCAGCTCTGTTTCTGGATAAGTTGCATTTCAAAAGGACTTTTGGTGTTGTTGCAACTAATAAGAACTTTGTTTACTTCAATCACAATTATCAGCATTCATGTGAAAGCTTGCTTTAAATAGTATGTATAATTGTAGTTTTCTCCGAGCACACATTATGCTGGTGCTGCGTTATTCCAATACATTAAATGTCAGACTATACAGAGTTGTTCCAAAATAACTGTTAGTTTTTCAGTTAACTTCATAACAAAATGTACAGTAAACTTCCAATACTCCGGCACCTTTAGGACCTAGGGGGTGCTGGATTATCAGATATGCCGGACTATTGGAAGGGGGGGGTATGAGGAGTCTGGGGGGGCATCCCCCTCATAGCCCCCCCTTCCGATAGTCTGGCTCTGCCCCAGGTGTCCCCGATTCAGCTGCTGGTCAGTTTCAGCAGTATATCATATAAATCAGGGAAGCTGGGTGCAGAGCAGCTCCAATTGTCCGGCAGCCAGAGCACTTCCGGGTTCCTGATGGTGCCAGACCATCAGGAGTGCCGGAGCATTGGATGCCGGACCAATGGAGTTTTACTGTATTATGCTGCAGAAGACAATTTAACTAGAGGGTAATTTCAAGTAGAGGATTAGATTTTCATCAGTGTATACCATGTTTAAAGAGACTTTTAGTAAGATTAGAAGCATTTGAGCCAAAGAATTGGATTTGACTCAAGACTGTAGCCTGTCATGATCATTTAACTCTAGTAACACAGATCCACTGAGGCTGGAATATACTAAGCTAACATGCTGAAGAATAAACAAATAGTTAACATACTTAACTTGAAAGATGTTCCTTCCTCACACAGCCAGTACTATACCCACAACTGACTCAGCTAGTTGGTTAGACTGCTTAAAATCTACTTCGGCTAGATTTTTCACGGCCCTGCTGAATTGGACTTTAAAAGCCAACTATCAACCTTGGATAAGTGGCTGGCGAACCACATTCATTATAGTTCAGTAATATAATTTTCCATTGTACTTACTCAGCAAATAGGTATTTCCGAAAAAAAAAGTGTTTCAAAACATGAAAATGATTATTATTGATATAACTGGATTCCTTAGGAGATGGCCCCCTCTTTCCTATCTAGGCAGCGCTGGAATACTTTGGTTCTTTCAAATGTTAGTTTCAGGTATTAACTTCTGATTCTTCAACAAACTTTAACTTGGTTATATTCTGCCTGCTTAAAATTCCTTTTTAAAATTCCTCATGCAGTTGAGGAAATTACTCCTTATTCCCCTCCTACAACCCTGTTATCTAATGCTGGTGAGTGAAAGCTGTGTTCTGCCTCAGAGGTGCCCTAATTTGCCTGTGAGGGAAGGGGAGAGTGATTCTAATACCATTTTATATGGAGTCATATAAAAAGTAGCTTCTAAAGTGTTTGAGATCTATCAAGATGAGACTCAGTATGTTAATGTAGTCCTGTGGCACCTTAAGCACTAACACAAATATACAGAATCATGAGCTTTCATGGGTAAAACCCACTTCATCAGATAAATTGGAGTGAAAATAACAATTCATCTGGTGAAGTGGGTTTTACCCACGAAAGCTATATACTATAGATTTCATAAAATACTATATATTTTGGTTACTCTCTAAGGTGCCACAGGACTGCTCATTTTTAAAGTTACAGACTAATATGGCTACCCCTCTGAGATTGTTAATGTAGTGATTTATTACATATTTTCAAGCTTAATACACAGTTGTAACATTTATGAAGGAGTGTAGTCTCATAGCGCAGAACTAGGAAAGGCTACTGGTTGTGTTTTGCATCTTGCCAGTGACTTTATTGGTGACTTTGAGCAGTTCATCGAGCCTCTCTGTACCTCCATTTGCAAGTATGCAATGGTAGGTAGTAAAACCTATCAGTTTCTAAAGGTGTTTGAAGCAAAATATTTGCAAAGATTTTTGGAAAGCCACAGATGAAATGCTATATATATATGTGCATCGTAGTAGTTAACTTTTATTTTTGTTTAAATCTCAAATACTTAAAATAAGGATTGGTATGTGTGTTGATTGGTTTGGAAAGTTTTTTCTGCAGTGTCAGATTCTCCTCTGGAACAGGTGATAAAAAGTAATAGGCACTTCTTAGTAACAAATAATTTAATAGTTATTTTTATATGATATACTGTTATCCTGCATCATATGTATAGGGTCTTCTGCATCAATTTACTTTACATTTTTGGCAAAAAGAAGTTTTCTCTCTGTGCTAACTTCCTATAAGAGTGCCTTTTAATATCTCCTAGTTTTATATATGCAGTTAAGAATCTACATTTATAGCTTTATAGAGGTCTTTATTTTTCTGTGTGGTGCCTTTGACTCCATTTTAAAAGTTCACATAATACAGTATGTTGATTCAAAGTTTGGGCTAGTATTCTAAAACCAGCAAGCTGCTGCCTTCCTGTGAGAAATTCAGTGTTAGGCTTGTGCATACTTATGGCTTCTGCTGCCACCTGGAGGATGAGGAGGAAGATCTGGCCACTTTTCAGGAATTAATTTTAAATAATACAGCTGTTTTATGGTTACTTTAAAGTGCCCTACATTATTTGTGTTCAGTTGTTTATTCAGACCAGTTTGTATAGAAAAGCACAAGAACTTTCTGACCAAGTGATTGGACTTATTACTGTTTCTTCAAAGACAACTAAATCTGGGAATGATTTAATATTATCAAACTCAATTCTACCAAAAACTATAACTACTATAGTTATACAAAAACTATAACAATTCAACTTCATGCAATGGAGCTCGCATGGTTTTGTATGGTTTGCAAAATAAGTGATGAAATTGAATTGCTATGTCATATATGCATAATAGTAATTCAAAACTGTGCAGACATTTGATTAAAAAAAAGCGAGGTTGCTCTTGCAATGTAATAGGACTACCTATATTTAAAATATCAACTTGATTTACAAATCACTTTTAGGAAAAATGTCTGGACATATTTGTTGTAACAATATTCTTTCTGGATCTTGATGGGTTTTACTAAATTTAAGAATACATAATTCTGTCTTAGTGATTTTCATCAGTAGATCTCAAAGCACTTTACAAAGGAGGTCATCATCATTATCTCTATTTTAAAGATGGGGAACTGAGGAACAGAGGTGAAATTACTTGCCCAACATCACTCAGAAGGCCAGGGGCAGAGTTGGGAATAGAATCCATGTTACCTAAGTCAGTCAGTGCTCTATCCATTAGACCACGTGGCCTCTCAGTAGAGCTATAATTAGAGGTAGATTATCCAAATGATCTGATTCCAGGAAATCTAGAGCACTCTGTGCTTAAAACCTCACCCATCTCAGGATAATTTTAATCTACCAGCATTTCTAACTGATCTACAAGTTGAACTGTTATACTAATTTGGGCGCTTGTACATTTCAAAGGAGGAATGCGGAAGTGCCTATCGACTAGTCAATGGAAATTCCATCCACTACTCAACTTGTAAATTAACCAATATTTAACATCCTTAATCTGGATCTGCTTGTTTTTAAAAAGTCAGTTTTCTACAGTTCCTAACTTCTGATTGATTGTTCTTATCACCAACTTTTAAGTCTTGCATTTTTTAAATGTGAAATGCTTGTATCAGAAGTTTGTCATAATGTATTTTTTTTAAATTTTGTTTCAGTTTAATGAGTGGTGTTAAGAATAATGTTGGCCGAGGAATAAATATAGCTTTGGTAAATGGTAAGTCATATTTTAAATGTGTAAAATATTTTCATTCAAAGACCACTTCTCAAATAGTCCTTAGAACATATAAAGAGGGAGGCAGGGAGGAAGACAGCCAGCAAGCAGAGAAGGAGAATAAAAAATGAGGGAAGGGAATTACAGAAAACAAATCCTCAGATTTATATTGAAAGTAATGTTGCAAAAATCTCTTAATTGTAGTTACCTTTTTGATAGTTTAGAAATGCAGTGTGAAAAGCTTCAAGTTTTAGTGCATTTATTGCCACTTATTCCGGAAAATCAGCCACTTTTCCGGAATAAGCTGCGAGCTGTCTACACTGGCCCTTGAATTTCTGGAAAAGCAACAACACTCTACTGTACAAAATCAGCCGCTATTCCGGAAAAACTATTCTACTCCCGCTCGGGCATAAGTCCTTATTCCGGAACACTGTTCTGGAAAAGGGCCAGTGTAGACAGCCCAGTAGTCTTTTCCGGAAAAAAGCCCCGATCGCGAAAATGGCGATCGGGACTCTTTTCCGGAAAAGCACGTCTACATTGGCCACAGACGCTTTTCCGGAAAAAGGGCTTTTCCGGAAAAGCAGCCTGCCAATGTAGATGCTCCTTTTCCGGAAAAACTGAAAACAGAATAGTATTCCGTTTTAAGCATTTCCGGAAATTCATGCCAGTGTAGACACAGCCTTACTGTAAAGTGAATTCATGGGCTCCGTGTTCATTTCATCTCAATGTATGTCAGCCAATGTATGTTGGGTTCACACTTTTGTTTAGAAAGTCAAATGGCGTGCTTTATTAATACGCCACCACCAGCAAAAAAGATTCTGTGAGCTAAATTCTTACACTTGTTTTCAGTGGAACTTTGTTAAAAGTTCCATTGATAATGCCAGAATATAATCATGCATCCTTTCATAGCTAAGGATCAGTATATGTCATGATTCCACAGCCACAGAACTTCCCATCAAATGTTACTTGTTATAAGATTGTTTCAAAATTGAAGCTTTCATTAAACATAAAAATTCTACACATGAGATTTTGAAGGAGATAAGCTTGTAAAATGTGTATATAATGTGATTGACATATATACACACGTGTGTACACAAGGTTTCATTTGTGAAGATATGTTGTCTTTTGTGTCATTTGTGTTGTCTATTTCACTGATGAAGGTTTTTTGCAGAAGTAGCCAGTTAATGTGCTTCTGCCTCCACTTGAACAGAGACCAAAATCTGGTAGTTGGGGAGCAGCTGGAAATGACCTGCTATATTGAGAGAGTATTTATGATGTAGATTTTTGTGTTTTCCATACATATCAAAAACTGATTGTAGAACAGCATAAAGTAAACTCATCAAAATGAAACCAGCAACTCTGATTGTGGTATTCATTTTTGTATCTAAGGGGGGAGGAGAGAGAAGAGGTAATTTAAATGAAGCCACCATGGAATTTCCAGTCAGCTGCAAAAAGTTCCCTGTTTTCCACACACTACAAATATTCTTCATTGCTAATAGGATAAAAAATAGTAAAAGCTATTATTTTCTTAAATAGATACAGGAAGCCATTCTGATAAACATTAGTGTACCCTTTTTATACTGATCTTCAAAATTGGGGAAAAAACACTCCTCTTTCTACTGCTTCCTGAGTAGCGCGCTCATTAAGATAGTAGTGCTCTTCTTTTTCTTATCTATGATTGTGCATAGGATTATAACAACAGGTAGTTAAAGGTGCTGATTTTATGGAAGAGACCATACCAGCTGAGAATTGGTATTCTGTATTACGCAGGCTCTCAAATCCTTTAACCATAGAACCATAGAACTGGAAGAGACCTCAGAAGGTCATCAAGTCCAGCCCCCTGCTCTAGGCAGGGCCAATTCCAACTAAATCAACCTGGCCAGGGCTTTGTCAAGCCGAGACTTAAACACCTCTAGGGATGGAGACTCCACTACTTACCTAGGTAACCCATTCCAGTGCTTCACCACCCTCCTTGTGAAATAGTTTTTCCTAATATCCATCCTGAACCTCTACCACCATAACTTGAGACCATTGCTCCTTGTTCTGCCATCTGTCACTACTGAGAACAGCCTCTCTCCATCCTCTTTG